GGGAATGGTACCACAAAGGAAGGAGGAGAAAGAGGACAGAGAGTATGAAGGTAGACAAAATCTATAACTACTGCAATCCAGTAGGGATGTTAAGAAGGCAGTTGAATTTAAAGGTCTGGAGTTCATTAGGCAAGTCCAAGATGGAAACAGAAACTTGGGAATGTCTGTAATAGATGGTACCAGAGGCCTGGGAGTGGACGAAATTACGTATTGGAATAAAAAGAGAAGAGGGCCTATAGTCCTGTAACACATTTTATGTAACAAATGAATTTGCTAAGAATATTTTTAGAAGTTGCTAGAGTATCAGAAGAATACACGTTTTTAAAATAAATACCCGTATGGCACTGTAATATGTGCCAGACATTGTTCTAAGCACCTTGCAAGTCTCTATGCATTTAATCCGCATAATAATTCTATTAAGTTGACACTACTGTTATCTCCATTTTACAGATGAGAGGACTGAGGCACAGATTGGTTAAGAAACTTATGCATGGTCACACAGGCAGTAAGTGAGATAGCTCATGTTCAGACCAAGAAGTCTGGCTTCAGAGTTCCCATGATTAAGATTTCATGCTGTTAAAGGGCCTCCTAGAGAACGTGAAGTTTTTGTCTCTTTCTCCTCTCCCTAATTCCATAACACTGCCAGATTTTCACCTGCTGTTCTGGATTTGTGGTGGGGTACACACGTGATTTGGCTCATCTGAGACTACATCTCTGAGGATGAAAACTGAGAAGGTAGAACCCTGGAGGTTAGTTGAGTTAACCTGGAGTGTGTTTGCAGTCAGGAGAACAGATGCTGTTTAAGTCAGGAAGAAACGGCTGTTCACTCCAAGGCCTGCTTCGGAAAGCCTCTTTGTTTTATGACTCTGGGTGCAAGCAACCCTTTTAATTTGGTGTCTTGGATTCCAGCCATAGGAGGCCTTCTTTAATGTAGCAGATGGCTGCAGACAGGCAAGCCAGGTTCCTACACTCTACATCAAACTGCCTTCCCTAGAGAGGAGTCTCCTAATTAGGTTGCTCTGAAAAAGAAAAGAAAACAAAACAAAATGGACACATTAAACTTACACCATGTGTAAGGAACCACTGTCTTAAGCATCTGCAAACATGTGGAGGTCAGGAAACCTTTTGAGGATCTGATGAAAGCTATTGGCTTTTTCTACAGAAAATTTATACGTAGGTATATACACAAAAATGTGCACTTTAATTCCAGAGAGTTCATGGATCCTCTGATATCCATCCCTGAAACTTCAAGGAGTCTGAGGCAGCCAGAGTCCTGTGCTTTGAGTGGAGGCAGCTGTCATTCTTTTACTTTAATTTTCTTTTTTCGATACATCAAGATCTCAACTTCTGAGTTATGAAAATAAAGGATCTGTGGATTACTAAGGAAGAATTTCAGACCCGAACACCAAAGTTTTACTGGAAAAAAATCCTTTCAAATATTGGACAAAATTTAGCATATTCTCTAGTCAGCATGGAACCTTGGCTCATTCTGCTAAACACTAACATGAAGGTTCTTCTGACAAACGTGATGAAATTTTTCTCTCTGGATCGTGAGGTGTGTCTCTGCACATCGTTTCTTTGGAAGCTCATTCTTCTCAAAACCTCTCAGTTGAGCTCTGGCTCCCGCACTGTTTCCAATATAAAGAATTGAGGGCAGGGGAACGTCTGCCAATTGAAGAACATACACATAGTTCTGAGAACTTGGAAAGGAAGCTCTATTGTTTCCAAGAACCCTGTCTGGGGGAGTCAGAAGGTTAGACATTTCTTCCTCTGATGTCCACTCACTGTGATTGTCTCAGGAAGTAGAGAAGTCCTTGAGGTAGCTACCAGGACACTTCACGGATCTTTGTAATGTCATTCACAGATGCCCCTACCCTGGGTGACTCTTCCTAACATGTTCCTCCAATTCTCCCAGGAAGGCATGCGGTAGTCATGTAGGGAGAACCTTCTGAGCTACAGCAAGGTGTGGAGTTGAGATATTTATAAAGGATATTCAAATCAAAACTAATTTGCCTCCATTGCTCTACATTTAAAAATAAACTTAAAAAATACAGAAAGACTTTTAAAATTATTCCAATTCCTCATGTTCCATATATTGTTTGTTGTCCCACCTTTCCTAAAAATCACCTCCTTTTTGGAACTGAAAAACTGAAGGAGGGAGTATCATGGGCTAAATATTTAGGCTAATTCTCTACACCAAGTGAATAACTTAAACAATTGTTGAAAAAATTCAAAGTATAGGCCCATTTCCTCCCTAACCATCAACCCAATTAAAGCAAAGCTATTTGGGATTTAAATCAGATTTCTTGACCTCAGCATTATTGACATTTTTGGGCTAAATTCTTGATAAATGGAGGATATCCTGTGCATTCGTGTATTGTAGGATGTCCGGCAGCCTCTCTGGCCTCTGCTCTAGATCTAGATGCCAGTGGCACTTTCCTCCTAGTTGTGACAACCGAGAATATCTTCAAACATTGCCAAATGTTTCCTAGGGGTGTAGTTATCCCTGGTTGAGAACTACTGGCCTAAATTACCCAGAAATAGATTTCTCTACAAGCAAAGTAAAATGGGAGTATTGAAGCTGCTTTCATCTGATGTTCTTAATCAGGTGAATGGCTAGACTGATAAAGTGGTTTGTCTTTTTTGATGCTCCACTGATGACTGTATCTATCTGTTCAGATTATCCTGTTCCATGTTTGTTATTAGCTCCCATTTGATTGCCAAAAACAGAGACTTCCTTATTCCATTCCTATGGCTCTGGCACTCTGTTTATTTGGTGTTTGAAAATCTCTTTGACTATACAGATATTTAGCGATCCCTCTGATTTTCTATACCCTTTCAGGTATGGGTAATTTCTTAGTCCTTTGGAAGGCTTTTGCTGCGCTGCTAAAAATCTCCATGCCTTTTTTCTATGTTATCATTTCTTCCAACTTAAGACCTAAGCTGAGCCCACGTAGCAGCTCAAAGAGGTTGGAGTGTCTGGTTGATTGATCAGCATGTGGACACACAGTACACAAAGGAAAACTGTTGGCTTTGAGATGACATATGTGATTATGAAAAGGAATCCTGTAATCACAAATTGTTCTTACATATGTGCAGTGACTGCAAGACAGCAAACAATTTGTTTTGGGAAGGGTTTTACTGGCTGTTTGAAGTGAGGAGTGGCTCTAGTGTACAAAATATTTAAACCAAATTGTTATGTCCTATAATGTTCAACAAAGCACTCTGCAAACATCAGTTCTGAAAAAATGGCATCCTCCAAGGCAGGGTTATAAGCACTTTGGGGAGTTGTAAACCCATGCAGGCTCCAGAAATATGTGCCTTCCAAGGCTGGAAACTTCTGAATTAACAACAAATAATCAGTGAGTGTGACAAAGAGTTAAAGTACACAGACTTTACTTTCACAGAGTTTATGATGTAGTAAAGAAGTTTAAAATGTAGACCTGAGGTTGCAAACTGATGGCCAGCAGGCTAAATCAAGACCATGGATTTGTTTTGTTTGGCATATATAGGGTTGGCCTCCAGAATGTCTATGAGAGGGACAGGAAGGGGGAGGGAAGGAGGGTGTGTGTGGGGGAGAGAGAGAGAAGTTGCTAAACAGATAAAGCTGATGTTTTTGCATAAAAATCCAAACTTTCAGCTTTTCTTGAAAAATCAGAGTATCTGCCAACACTAGGTCCTTATTTGCACATTTCCCTATGGTGACAGTTGGCTGGAGTATAACAGCAGTGCCTCCTTTGATCAGAGCACTCTCTGGTTCCCTACCCTGGCACACTTCACTCCCTCTCTAGGCCTCTGTCGTCATTTGAGATGGTCACCCCTAATGCAGAGATTTCGGTAACATTTGTTTAGTCTCTTCCTCATGGAAACAAAGTGCTGGATCCCGAAGCAAAATAGCAGCTGTCCTATTTGTGTGTCGGGTGAGATGCCCCTAAAATTGAGGTGATGGGAACTACTCAAAGATGTGTTTTCAAGGTAGAGTTAACAGGGTTTCAGGATAGATTGAATTAGGGTGTCAAAGAGGATGGCGAAATGACGCCAATTTTAATTTTTAGTTTATTTTAAAAGAAAATCTATAATGGAATATTGGAAAGCCAGTATTGACATTTTAAAGTAAAAACAAAATTATTTGAAAGCTTTTTCTCACAAATACTTTCCAAATCGGGTGCCCTATATGTGGTACCAATATCATACTCTGGGAAATGCGTACAGTTTTGGGAATTGGGTGGAAAAAGCATTTGAGAAGAGCCCTAGTTAGTAAGAAAAGGGAGTCCAGGAGACGGGGTGGAGGCAATTAGCCTATGGATGGCCTCTCTGCACCTCAGCGGCCCCACCTGTCCAGGGTCCAGTCCCCACGGACCTCCTCCCGCAGCGGGCAGGGGATGTGTACCCCGAACTGGGGTTGCGCCCAGCGCGGGACTGTCCCGCTCCTAGAGCTCCAGGCTCGGGCGCTCCCTCCGTCTCGCAGGCCCGCGGGGGCTCCAAGGTCGCCCTGCGGGAGGGGTTTTACGGCTGCATCTGGTAAGAAGCTGTGAGATGTTCAGAAACATGTTTTGAAGCTACTTTTGCACAGAAAGGACTCTCTTCATTGAAATTCATATTACAAATCAATAATAGTAGCGAGGTCGTATCGGAAGATGTCTTTATTTACACTGCACGTGACAGAAAATCTCCAACTGTCCACATCAAGGACGATTACTTAATTTTATTATTATGTGTGCTGGTTTGGTCAGTGGAGGCCACGAGTGGCTCTCGTAGTGGCGGTAGGAGTTGGCCGAATGAATCCTACTTTCAGGCGGGGCCATCGATGCAAAAGCCTCCGGCTGATCGGAAGTCGGCGTTTGCCGGCGCGGAGCCAAGCGCCGAGGTTTCCTTCAGCCGCCGGGGCAAGGCCACGCTCCCGTCCGCCCGGCAGCGGTCTCTCGGCTCCTGGCGCGCATGCGCCACCCCAGCGGGCGTCCTCCCCGGCTGCTTCCTTCCCTCCCTCCCCCGTCATCCGGGTCCTGGGCGAGCGGGCGCCGTGCGCGTGTCCCGCGACCGCGCTGCTAATAAAGTTGCGGCGAGGGAAAGCGCAGCGACGGCGCCGGGAGAGCGCGCCCGGGCGGCCCGTGAGTGAGTGAGGGTCCCCGGAGCGGGCGAGCGGGGCCGGGGACTGCGGGCTCTGCCCGGACGGACTCGGGCCGAGGCGGGGGCGTTCGGCCGCGGGCGGAGCGGAAGCGATCCGGGGCCTGCGGGACGCGAGGTAGGCCGAGTCCTGACCTGCGGGGTCCCGGCGGGCGGGGACGGTGCGGCCCGGCGGGCTACGGAGGCCTCGCCTGCGGCCCGGGGCGTCCTGAGGCGGGGCCGGGGCTGGCCCTCGTCCCAGCCCCGCCGTTAGCGCCGGGACTGCAGAGGGCGGCGTTTGGGACGCCCTGGAGGGGATTCCCCGGCCCCTCTTCTGTCTGGAGGAGCAGTTTGCGCCCCAGTGCACCGCCCTCGACTCACGCCCCTGATAGGATCGCGGTGCTCGTCCGAGCAGCCCGGCGGCCGCCTGCGCTGCAGAGCTGTCCGTGGCCGGGTGAATCAGTGCCGCCGTCGCTTTGTGTTCCAGAGATAAGGATCCTCGCTTATCGGTGGGAATTACACTCCGGGCAGTCGTGACCTGCTGCTGCTCACAGCTGGTCGTTAGACCCGGTTTCCGCCCCTTGCCATGCCGGTGGTAAGCGTTCCAAGGGTTTCTGCTTCACGTAAACTTCTGTATACTGCAAGGAGGGTGCCACAACAGTAGCGGCGTCTTTTTGTTTGCACCCCGTTCAGCTCCTGCCCGGGTCTGCACTTCACTGTCGGTGCTCAAATCCATATTCCAGTCTCTTCCCCTCCTCCTCCCCCTTTCCCCTCTTTTCCCTTTCAGCTGCTGCCGTTACGTGGAGTTTGGAGCCTAAGCTTTGAAAACTCCCATGTGGCGCCTGTCTTAAGTCTGAGCATGCTCAGTAGTCAAAACAGATTTGGGTTGCAAAAAGAACTCGGGCGAGGACAGTCGGGGTGTTTGGACGTTTGCCCGCCTCCTAACAAAATGTTCCGATTCTGGTTTTGATGGCATTGGAGAAGGGAGCTTAGGCCAGCCTGTAGGTGAGGAATGCCTGAACACCCTGGGCCAGATCCGTATCTCGATTTAAAGACATTGTTTCCTGACCAGCTGGAGGTCTAGAGAGCGGGGAAAACAGTTTTGGCTGCTTGTGCTTTTAAATGGGTGTGGTGCTAAGTATATCTTGTTTACCTTATCTTTCTGTGGAAAAAGTTTTGAAGTCTGGTTGGGTTTGTCACATCCAGCCTGTTGCCTAGCACTACCAAGAGTGTTCTTATCTAGCAACAAAGACTGGAGAGGTGGAGGTTGTGGCTTGGCCTCGCAGAAGTCGAGAGGAAAGGGTACTTGGGTTGCGTTTTTAAAAATTCTTTGGAAAGCTAGAGAGAGTACTTGAATTTTCTTAGAGTACCTGAACAGTCCAGAGTGAGTGAGTTTTTAATTTTAATTTGAAAGCCGAAAGGTTGAAAACTTTAGTTCCGGTGGATTTAGTAACTTTTCAGATAGCTTAAAATTTCTGCCGGATGCCGGGGCAGTTGTCTGTTAGGGAGAAAACGGTATCTACATTCAGTGTGACAGTTTCACATTTATTGATCCGAATGTCATTATGAAATTCAGGTGTTTTAAATTCCCCAAGTAAGGAGCTACTTGACTCATCCGTAACAAATTATTTTACAGTCTTTCTTTTACTCCTTCGGTAACTATTTTTTTCCTCTAAGGTGAACCCCCAAATTATAAAAATACAGAACAACTCAGAGGAAACACTTTAACAAAATTTAACCTTCATATAGGTTGTACATGTTATGTTTGGATTTTTAAAATTTAATTTTTATGGTTGCGTGATTGTCTCTGTAACATCTCCTTTCCTTCCCTCTCTACATTGCTGCTCCCTTAGTCCTTTTTTACATAACTGCTGTTATTTACGTGGATATCTTTGTTACAAATATTCAGTTATCTTTTTGTGCTTCCATTCCTTTCAGATTATAGCCGAAATAGGCAGTAAAAGTTAGATGAACCTTCTCACCTGACTTTCATCTTAGGTTTTAAATGCATCCACGTGATACCTTCTACTTTAAAGGAGGAAGAGAGCAGCGAACTGGAAAGAAAGAATAAAATATTTTTGTAGGTTCTGTACAGATCTGGTAGTATTATCTGCTTGTCTGGTTCACTGTGGTAGGCGCCACAGAAATGGGTAGATTGCTATGTGTTGCATTTCTTTCCCCTCTGGCAAAGTCAGCTATTAATTTCAGTGGGAGACAGTGGCAGAATGTTGTTACTAATGAGGTTTGAATCAGATTGTTGTTTACTGTTGGTTATGTAACATGCTGCTGGGAGTATTATTAAAAGTTGCATTCTGTAGCAAGGTAGAGGCTAGTCAATTCTGCGTACCCTCTTCACTGGGTTTTGATTCTTGGCTGAACCTTAAGGCACATTAGACTACAACCATAATTATACCTGGGCAGGCTGTCTGTTTCCTGTTTTCATCATGAACCCAAACATTATGATTTGCAGAGATGATCTTTTTTGTCCTTTCGTTAAACAGAAGCTGTGTGTTTTCTCTCTGTACTGAAAACAGATTTGTAACTTGGTCAAATCAAAGATTTTAGTGTTTTGGAGACTAGGCAGTAAAATATCAAACAATTTTTCATTTCTTAGTACAGCAGCTTAAGTTGAAATACCATCTAAAAAATCTATTTCATATATATTCTTTGTTTTTTGTAAATTTTAATATTACCAATAGTTTGTAGAGTCTTTGAATTAAGAAAACTTTTTGTTTACGACTTATCAGTGTTTATTATTACCAGATGTATGTGTTGGTTGAGGCAATAAGCCTCATCTGGGTGAATTTCAGAGCTGACTTGAGTACACTTTAAGATATAGGTGTCTTTATTACTGTGGTTTGTCAGTCTTCATTTCTAGAGGATCTGTGTTCCTTCCGTCTTTTTTTGTGTTCTGTACTAAGCATAAGGAAGAAGCCAAAAATAGTTGATTTCTACAAATGTTACAGGCAGCTTATATCTTGTGGTTTATCAGTCAACTCATAAGGTCAGAGACACTGGAGAAGATTCCCTTTTATAAGGGACTCTAGTAGCCCGAGAATTCTTATCTCCCCCAGTTTGGATATTCTAGAGAAAAGAATATCTGGGAAGGTAGGACCCAAGAAAACTGGGGTGCACAGATATAGTATGCTTTGCACCAAAGATGATGAAGGACCCCAGGAAGCTGATCATGTCTTTTTACACCTTGTTTTCTCCTTCTGAAGTTAATGAATAACAGTAATTGGAATTTTTAGTGTTGGATTATCCAGGTCATTGCCGCTTCACATACCCTTAACCTCTAAGCAGAACTCCGAACCTGAGAGGTATGTCTACTAAATGGAAGGTCAAGATTTAGAACTGTTTTGGAAGAATTGTTAAAAACTAGATTGTTGTTAGGACCAGCCAATGTCCCAGTCTCATAGATCACCTTCATATTCTAACAGCTTTTATTGTGTTACAACTTGGAAAAATGAGGTAATTATAGAGTTCTTGGGCTTTTCATGAATAGTTAGCTAGTTCTAGGCTCTTTATTTAGTTTGGATTTTTTTAATTTTTTTTTTTTTTTTTTTTTTTTTTTTTTTGCTTTGGGCAGCTAGGTGGGGAGTTTGGCTGAGTTCTATTATAGTGGTGTGTACAGTGACTTTTCTTTCTCCTTTTTCTGTGTCTTAACTTAGTTGAGATAATATTTTAGAAGAAAGAGTTCCTTATTAAGACAGTTCTATGTGTGCAATACTATAATTGTAATTTACTTTTGGAAGCTAGTTGTTAAAGTGCATTTTATAAATAGGTTTTACTCTTGAATCCTTTGGGATCTCAGTTCCTGTCTATAATGAGTATATAATTTATAGGCTGGTATTCTATGGAAATTCTATGGAAAATGGTTTGACCTGTTGTAGTGAGACTTTAACTGGAATTTTCCTTTTGATATCCATACATATTGTTTTGTTATATTGAAAATAATAGAAAAAATCTTGTGTCCCCTTCCCAGGTTTCTGTGAGCATAGCAACTGGAGTCTTGGGAGGAGGCTCACACTTTTCAGATTTAACTATGATCTCAGAATATGGCTAGTACTTTCAAGGCAAGTTTTGTTTTGTTCTGTTTTGTTTTCATGATGTGTTAGGATCTGCCTAGCATCCTATCTGCTAGGCTGTGTAACTTGAGATCTAGTTATTCTGGTTTGTGTGTTTCCAGGAAGAGGGGGTACTGCAGGAGTATTTCAAAGCTTGTCTTCTGTTTTCTTCCCCCTTAATCACATCTTCATGCCCACTTAAATGAGTGTCTGCTTAACTCATCGACCGTTTCTCACTCGTTGGAGTTGAAAGTGTAAATTAAATGAATGATGACTAGAGCTGAAAAGGTAGGTGCCCAGAGCCATATTTATTCCCTTTTCTTCTGAGTAGAGAACTTGAATTTTAGAGTGCACATGGGCTGTGTGGAGAACATCTTCGTAATGCATTGGAGTATATGTTGTGTACACAGGTTAGTTCTTTGTGCTCCAGAGACAGATTTTACAGAAATGATTTGTTATCTGCACTTGATCTTATAATTTAAAAGAAAGCACTGTAAAGATTGACCAGGTCTTTATCTATTCCTGTGCCTACAAGCCTATACAAACATACTTGCACACATCTGGTAGCAATGTAAGAAATCTTGCAGGCTTGTGGGGGTGAGTGATACATCTAGATCAGACTCTGCTTAATTAGAGAACTTTGAGGAGCACTCTTTAAGCAAAGAGTGATTAAAAACTGGGAAACAAAAGTCTGGTTGTGGGAGATAAAAAGGTAGAGAATTCTGTGGGCACAAAGAGAATAGCTGAGATTATGCCATGAGAAGTGTCAGGGATCGTAAGTTCAGCTCCTGAAGGGCTTTGAAATCCTCTATGAGAACTTCTGATGTCTTTGGAAATTGGGAGCCACAATTAAGGAAAGTGGTGATTTAAGTGTTTCTCTAGGAAAATAATGTTGGTGCTCATGTGGTTGCATCTTCTCTCTCTTATAGATGTTCCCTAAAGAATAGGATTTCTGAATCCAGAAAAGCTGTTGGCATACTTGCTTTCGGTTTCTCTCTCTTCTCTGCCTGCAGTCGTGGATGTGGCTTACAAGTTCTGTAGTAATTGTAACCTGGATCTAGGGTGATTTGAC